TTGAATGGGCATATCTCATGCCCCGTATGTCGTAGAGACATGAAACTTTGCACAGAGATGCCTCTCCTCACGAGGAACAAATTTGCCTCAAAGACCCATAACTTCCAGTTACAGAGATTTTCTGCCATCTTGAATTTTTTGAAAAACACTTAAAATCAATCTCTTCCTACGAAGTTTGACCGATCTGCATGAAACTCGGTGAACATAATCTAGGGACCAATATCTAAAGTTCCCTCTTGGCAAAAGTTGGAAAACTTTCTAAAACCGAGCCTCTATAAGGCAATGAATATTGCGGAGGGCGTGGCTCATCACATAAAGGTGTATAACATCTCAAGGGTTTCACTGATCACCACACAACTTTGTAGGCATATGACCACACATAATCAGAGGGAACCCCTCCATTATTGACCTGATCAAACAAAATGAGGGCACTAGAGAGCTAATTTCTTATCTAGGCCTAACCGCCAAATTGATTTTTACTAAACTTGGTAGATATGTAGAACAGGATGCCTCAAGGTGACTGGAGAAATTGAACTCTAATTGGCAACTGGGTGGCGCTATAACAACAGAAAAATGCTTAAAAATGGCTAAAATGCGACCGATCGCTGTGGCTCCCCCTGTGGCTGAATGTTGTTGTTTTTTTTCTAATGTTTGGTATGACAAAGTCATGGTATGGTATGCTGTACTCAATGGGTATGGACTAGTGATTTGAGCAGACTTTACCTTTAAATTTCTCATAAACCATACTGTAAAATTACATGAAACTGACATGAACATAGTTGGGGTCAGATAGAACAATAATTCATTGAAAGATTTATGTAACCTATGAAGGATTCTTTTTAAATAAATTTTCAATTTGAGGAAATTGTGGTTACACTTAGGGAAATGTAAGCAGATTTTACCTTTAAATTTCTAATAAACTATACAGTAAAATTACATGACAATTGACATGGACATAGTGAGGGTTACCTAGGAAAAGAATGCACTGAAAGATTTATATAACCTATGAAGGATTTTTTTTAAATTAATGTCAAGTACGAGGAAATTATGATTATACTATAGGGTAATTTGAGCAGTTTTTACCCTTAAATTTCTCATAAACTACACTGTAAAATTACATGAAAATTGATATGCACATAGTGGGGGTCACCAACAAGAATCCATTGAAAGATTTATGTAACCCATCATGGATTTTTTTAAATTTATATTTAATAAGTGGAAATATTGATTATATTATGTTGTCATTTTAACGGACTTTACCTTTAAATTCCTCATAAACTATATCATAAAAATTACATGAAAACTGACATGGACATAGTGGGGGTCACCTAGAACAAGAATCCATTGAGAGATTTAGGTAACCTATCAAGGATTTTGCGCACCCGCAACACTGCCAACCCCCCCAGGACCAGACTCTGCACCATGGGAGACCGGGCTTTCTGCTCGGCCGCTCCCAGACTGTGGAATGCTCTCCCTGACCACCTGAGAGCACCGCAGACTGTGGACGCTTTTAAACGCAACTTAAAGACTTACCTTTTTACTAAAGCCTTTTAATGTATTTTATCATGTTGTCTGTTTTTAACTCTTAGCGTAGCATATCTACACTGCCTTCTGTAGCACTTTGAGATTTGTTTTAATGTAAAGTGCGTTACAAATAAAATGCATTAGTAGTAGTAGTAGTAGTAGTAGTAGTAAAATTACATGAAAATGAAGATGGACATAGTGGGAGTCACCTAGTACAAGAATCCATTGAAATATTTATGTAAACTATCAATGATTTTTTTTAATTTATATTCAATATGAGGAGGGCGGCAATAGCTCAGTCCATAGGGAGGGGCCGGAGGGTCGCCTGTTCGAGTCCCTTTCCGGACCAAATGTGGAGAGTGGACTGGTGGCTGCAGAGATGCCAGTTCACCTCCTGGGCACTGCAGAGGTGCCCTTGAGCAAGGCACTGAACCCCCCAACCGCTCTGGGGCCTGACCAAGGCAACCCCTCACTCTGACATCTTTCCACTTTGTGCATGTGTGTGTCTTTTGGACCTGTGTGTTAACGAAAAAAAGAGTGAAAATTTTGAATTTCAACTCAGGGGGATTAATAAAGTACATATATATATTAGTGCTGCACGATTTGGTAAAAATGTGCGATTGCGATTATGGTGGACAATATCACGATTTGCGATTTGGATTACAATATAATTGCAATAAAATGTAATAAATAAATGGTATCATGAGTCTTTTTGCTTGATTCAGTGTTTCCCCTACATTATATTAGGGGGGCACTGACCTGACATAGTTATTGTTATGGACAGACAGTGTGTCAATGACCATCAACAGACTGAGCACAGTCAAACACACAGCAACGCAACACGGAACTGTACACACAGCGGAGCGAGCATATGTTGCGTTCAGGCGTTGTCACGTTAATGACAAATTCCAGCGTCATAGCACAACACAGCAGCATGTCAAGTGGGCCAAACCCGAGCAAAATTGCTCAATTTTTCATTTGTTATGGAGTCCATGATTTCCCTGTGACACTTACAAATGTTTGCTTAACTGTGCTTGGATGTTGTTTTATGAGGCTCTGGCGGCTTTCAGTTGTCTCATTGTCTTTAACGTTACACGGCTTGGCTTTCTCTCGCATGCGCTCTTCCTACTTTTCCCTGTGCTGTCTCAAGTGTTGATAGATTGGTCGTGTTGCCGCGGGACATGGCAACTTTAACTTTTAAACTTTTACACAGCACATCTTTCAGGTACGGCGACGTTGGACAGAAAGACGTGCTGTGTAAAAGTTTAAAAGTTAAAGTCGCCACGTCCCGTCTCAAGTGCTGATATAGATTGGTCATGTTGCCGCGGGACGTGGCGACTTTAACTTTTACACTTACACAGCATGTCTTTCTGTTCAACGTCGCTGTACCTGAATCCAAAGTATCGCCATGTAATAATATACATTGCGTTTTTTTCGGCACCAACTCAGGCTGTTCATGGTCGAGCTCATGCTCTTGTTCAGCGTCTGTGTTGGTCACTGCTGCACGCCGGCTGCACGCACCAGGATAGCTTGTGGCCGTGATGTCAACAAACTCCACACACTACAAATCGCAGCCTTTTATGCGGTTATGTAATCGCACAGCCTGACATCACGATTGCGATTGCAATTGCGATTGCGATTAGATTAATCGTGCAGCACTAATATCTTATACAACAGTTAGTTCCGACCGAGTAATTTGTTTGGACGAGAGGCATTCCATGAGTGCTGATATAGAGTATAACATCACTGGGACTTGTAACAGTAAAATCACTCCGCTCACAGGTGTTATAAATATAAATACAACCGTTAATTAATCAACTGTCACACTCGCTACATTGATGCAAACGGGCACTATAGTGTTACACCAAGAAGATGGATATTTTCCCCCAAATTACATTTGAATTAAATTATGAGTGGTTGTCAGGAGAGGACGGGGAAAAGGAAAGCCAGGACTCTTCTGTGCAGACATCCAGGTGTGTTTGTGTAACATCAGCTGACCTTGACAAACTGGAGAGGAGCAAAAATTAAGCGAACAGGGTCAGGAATTATCAATGATCATCTGATGAGGTACTGATGAGGAAGAGTGGAAGCTGAATCCAGCCGTGCCAACATCCAGGTTTGCCAACGTTTCATCAGCCGAACTGGACGAAGTTACACAGCTGCAGATCAATGTAAATACAAAGTAGGCTAGCTTGTGAGTTCCTGGTGTGTGTGCTGCATTGCCTGGCAACAGACTGGGGGAACTGTTTTTTTTTTCTTGCGGAGCTACACAACATACTTAAATAATTTATTTTATCATTTTTGTTAACATTTCCTTACTCAGCATTGCTGTTTAAGCTGTTGTTGAACTGTTGTATAAAAGCAATATCACACTCGAGGTCGTGACGTTGTACTTTATATCGTCACGGCTGTGATTCGGTCGTAGGCACGAGGCCGCAGGCCAAGTGCCGGAGACAGTTATAGCCGTGACGATATAAAGTACAACGTCACGACCTCGAGCGTGATATTGCTTTTATACAACAGTTCAACAACAGCTTAAACAGCAATGCTGAGTAAGGAAATGTTAACAAAAATGATAAAATAAATTAATAAATTGATAAAATAAATTATTTAATATTGTGTTGTGATTTGAGCAGACCTTACCTTTTAATTCCTCATAAACTATAGAGTAAGGTTACATGAAAATTGACATGGACATACTGGGGGTCACCTCGAATAATAATCCATTGAAAGATTTTTGTAACTTATCAAGGTTTTTTTTTTTTTTAATTAATATTTAATATGATTTTTTGTTGCAATTTGAGCAGATTTTCCCTTTAAATTTCTCATAAACTGTATAGTAAAATTACCTATAAACTGACATGGATATGGTCTGGGTCATCCTGAACAAGCATTTTTTTAGTGGCAGGTAAAAGATAATTTTATGTTGATATTTTCAAGTTCGAGCTCCTTTAAAAAAGAAAGTTCAGTAGAAAACCTCTAATATTTTGTAATGAAATTCTTCATATATTGTGCAATGCAATGCACCGTTTATTTGGTATATCAAATGGGAGAAACGGGGGAGAAGGCATTGCTGAAAAACGGTTGTGTCTTTGTCATTTTTGGCTGTTCCAGCCATTCGTACCGTAATACCAAGAACAGACAAGCATCAAAATCCGTGTCGCGTCTGGCTTGACTGGACTTCGGCAAATGAGGGCTCACTTAACCGCAGTTAAAGGAAAACGGTTGTGAACACCAACAAGCAAAGACAGACCAAAACGTTGATATCGTTTCAACTGACACCAGTGGATCCAGATAAACAATTAATAATAAGCTATTCTGAATGCGGGACTTTAAGTTGTTGGCCTACTGGAATATTTTTACACAGTGTTTTTATTTTTGTTTGGTTTGTTTGTCATTTTACCCAGCTAACGAAGCATAAAGGGACACAAACTGACCCGCTGTCTGTCTCCACTTCCCCTCCTCAGACTTCAGGCTGTCCAGCTGTCTCTGCTGTCGGTCTATCTGTTCCCAGTACCGGGCCACCGTTTCCCCAAATACTCCCAGGATGTCTTCCACCGCCGCCGTCAACCGCTCGTTAACGAACACCCGCAGGGTTTCCATCTCCGACATCGGGCTGCAATCCGACTCCATACCCCCGAAACCCTCCACCGCCTCAGGAGGGACCGTAAAGGAAGGGGACATATGCCGCTCTGCTGACATGTTGGAGCGTTTTATCCTCCGGAATACTAAATGTTATCAGTTAATGTCGTTAAGACACCACGTCCATGAGCTACACGTTTTTACAATCGGAGTCCCAAAACTGAAACGAAGACAGGCTCCAGTTTAAATGTTATCTGTTTAAAGGAAGTAAACAAAGCGACTAAGCTCCGGTTCAGAAAAAAGTCGCAGAGAAACAATGTCTGCCATCAATAGTTCCGGGAGAACAGCAATTATTTTTAAACATGATAAGAGGTGGAAGAAATATTCACGTTTTACTCTATGTTGAAACGGTAATATCACTCTATAAAAATACTCTAAGTAAAACCGTAAACACTTAGACTCCCATGTTTAAATGCTTTAAAGCTAAAATAAACATGTTTACAGCCAAAAAACGGGTTTGGTCTCTAGGGCTTATTACATCATTCATGACAACAGTACAGGGAATGAATTTTTTTATGTAGGCTACATTAGTTTTATTTATAACCACAGTTATTATAATTGAAAAAAAATATTTAAGGCCTTTGTAAATAGTTTTCTATTTCATTTGATCTCAAATAAACCCACCATGATTTAACAGTCCTGAGTAAATTTTTTATTAACTACAGAACACTCGTGTCTAGTTTATTTTAGATTTACCATATTCCCTGTAATGAATCTTTTAGGAAAGCACAGACTGTAATGACTGTTGTTTCATCCTTTATTGTCAAATGTTCAAAGACAGCAGCATTTGTTCTATCATTTATGTTGTTGATTAAAGCTAACATAGGAATAGCCTGTACTTAATTTAATAATTCTAGCAAAGCTGTCAAAATGTCTCTGCATTATTACCATAATATACCCATTGGCTATTGTTTAAATTTAGACCAGATATGCACCATAAAAACCATCAACATACTTAGGGCATGATCTTCAATAATACCTTTATTTAAAATTAAAAGCTGCTTTAATGTCAGCAATGTTATTATCCATCAACTACACAAGAAAGAAGTTTAAATTACAGTAGAAATGGTTGACATGAGAAACCACAACATAAAAGTAATACTTAATGTATACCTTACAGCGCCTGGTGCAGCACTCTCCTCATTCAGTAAAGTCTAAATCCTGGTATTGGTGAAGAAATAAAAGCTGCCTTTACAATTAAAGGGAGGATAGTGCAACAGTCAGTGAAAAAGCTGTTGTAGCAGTCCCTACATAATGGAGGTACTGTAAGGTGTAAAATATACAGGAGCCATTATTCATTATAAGTCCTTGTGTGTGAGACAGTTTATATGTAGCAGGCTCACAGTTTGGGGGAAGAAGCTGAAGCTGAAGTCTCTTCATGTTAACAACGTCTCAGTTTACTTTGGTCACTATGAAAGAGACAATGGGTGTGGTTACATGATGGCTTCTCATTCGGAATTAAATAAATCTGAATGAAATCATTTGGAATTAAAGTTTTTCCAGGTAGTTTACATGGGAAATATTCATTCCGAATGAGGATTTACACGGGAAATCAGTTTAATCGCCTTTATTCGGGTCCGTGCAAGGTTTGGGGCAAGAAAGGTTTCTGATTGGATAGGGGGGCGGGACGGATGTTACATGTTTATGTTTACTGGAAGAAAACACTGTAGTCCTCACTCCGGATAACAAGATGCTTGACGACGCCGTTCTTAGTGCGTTTTTCAGGCTTGTTTTGCTTATATTCGTGAAGCAGCAGTACGACAACAACCTTGTTCTGCTAATGCTTCGTCTGTTGAGGAGGAGAAGGGAGGTAGAAGGTCAAAGAAGGGAGACAGAAGACCATGCTGTGGCGAATTGAAACTGGTTAGTGCAACCAGTCCGACTGCTCTATCTCAGCCCGTTGCTATGCACGCTATATACGTCATCGCGCCAGTAGGGCAAGGAAACAAGCATGCGCAGAAAGACCGGAATGAACTTAAAGAGGAATGAGCTTATACAAGTGCGAGAAATTCTTTCATTTGGAATTAGAAACGTAATATTCCAGCTCCTTACATCAGAATGAATTTTCAATCGCATTGGCCATTTTCATTCCAAATTATGTGTTTACAAGATCACTTTTATTAGGAATGAACTTTCATTCCAAATGAAAAGGGAATTAAACTGTCCATGTAAACATACTCAATAAGACAACCTGAAAGTGTTTGAATGTAAATTTGCCCCAGTAACATCCTCTCTCTAAGTAAGTAATGTTCTTGGAATAGCACACTGATATTAACAATAATGACTGAAAACAATGAACTATATCAACTCTGAACAAACTATTCACAATTTGTTACAGCCACTCACTGTTTTTTCTTGGTCTGAGCTCCTCCAGAAGCCTCCTCTCTCTTCTGTCCTTGTCTTTTCCAGGTGCATTAAAGGGATTGGAAGAACCTTTATTATGGCGGACGGGCAGTGGCAGTTCTAGCCTAAATGGTGCCCTGCCCCCTTAGTTTTTATTTATTCCCAAAATGGCTATAACCTTGAGCAGCTCCAAAAAATGTGATAGTGGTTTGCCTCATCATCCCCACAATTTCTCCAGCATGTGTGAATTGTTGATATTAGATATGTTTTCATTTTAGGTGTTGTAAAAAACAAACAAGGTTTTTCCAACAGAATTCATGCCAATACATAGAACAAGAAGTAGAAAAAACAGTATCACACATCTTATCCCATTGTTGACAGGTTATTTTGTCATTTAGTTCTTTCTCCCATCTCTCTTTGATACATGTTGTGGTATTATCTCTGCCCTTTGCAATACCCTGGCTAAGTTTTGAAATTACAGATTTAGAAGTACCACTATATGCCCATATTATTAGTTGTATTATTTTGTTAGGTTCTGCAGTTTCATTTTTCCAGATTTATTTCATAAAATATTGTCGTACTTGTAAATATCTAAAACAAAATCATGATTTTCTAAGTTGTATTTTTCTCTCAGTGCTTGAAAGCTTTGTAGCACATTATTTTCCATTATATTACAATAAGCAGTAATACCTTTATTTGTCGAGTAGTTAAACCTATACCATTCATCCATATCATTCGTTTTGAAATCTGTATCATGTTCAATCCATCTAACTTTTTTCAATTTGTTCCACAAATTGAATTGCTTCAGAACATCAAACCAGGTGTCAATTTTTATCATCAATTTTATTTATAAAGCCCAATATCACAAATCACAGTTTGCCTCACAGGGCTTTACAGCATTGGACATCCCTCTGTCCATAGGACCCTTGCAGCGGATAAGGAAAAACTCCCCATGTAATGTAAATGAGATGAGGGGGCTCAGATGTTCTTGATAGGCTGTCATTAATTTATAATCCCCAATCATTGCTTGTATGGGGATGCCCCTGCACTCCTTTTCCATGTCCTTCCATTTTGCCTCATATTTACAATTGAGGATCACAGTTTTTAACTGGGCAGAATGATAATAATCTCTGAGATTAGGGAGAGACATACCACCTCTTTCTTTATTAATGGTTAATGTGTTGTATCTAATCCTTGTTTTTTTCCCTTTCCAAATAAAACGGTCATGACAGTAGCTTACAATATTAATTAAAGTAATAATATTCTGATTCTAATAACGGCTATTGTTGTACAATATGTTGAAAGTATATATTAATATCTGATAGTATACATATGTGACAATAATAATCATATGCGTATAATAACAGTAAAAGTATAATGATAACAGCAGCAGCAGGAGGCATCAGGCAGGACCACGGCAGCAGCACAACCACACACGTCACACTATCCAGGCATCGCTGCGATATAAGTTAACCTGCGAGACAGTGGAGCACAAAGGCTCCAGAGAAGAAGCAGAGTTAGTGACATGCAGTACGGCCGAGTTAGCAAGATGCAGTAACAGGACATGAGAGAGAGAGAGAGAGAGAGAGAGAGAGAGAAAGAGAGAGACAGAGAGAGAGAGAGAGAGAGAGAGAGAGGGAGAGAAGGTGCCCGGTGTATTATAGGAGATCTCCCGGCAGATGAGGCCTAAGTCAGCCTAACTAGGGGCTGGTGCAAGGCAAGCCTGAGCCGGCCCTAACTATAAGCTTTATCAAAGAGGAAAGTCTTAAGTTTAGTCTTAGGTGTGGAGAGGGTGTCTGCCTCCCGGACCGCAATAGGAAGATGATTCCACAGAAGAGGAGCCTGATAGCTGAAGGCTGTGGCTCCTGATCTACTTTTGGAGACTTTAGGGACCACGAGTAATCCTGCATTCTCAGATCGCACAAAGCTTTGTGTGCAGGTAATCGTGTGTAGCTGCTCTGTAGGAGTCCAGAAATCAAATACAAAGGCCCAAAAATGAGTATAATAATGTTGTTGTAGGTTACTGTCATTACCGTATGTCCTGCATCTCTCTCTGTCTCTGTCTCTCTCTGTCCGTCTGTCTGTCTCTCTCTCCCTCTCTCTCTCTCTCTCTTTCTCTTTCTGTCTCATTGTGTCATATGGTTTACTGTTAATTTATTATGTTGATCTGTTCTGTACGACATCTATTGCACGTCTGTCCGTCCTGGAAGAGGGATCCCTCCTCAGTTGCTCTTCCTGAGGTTTCTACCGTTCTTTCCCCCATTAAAGGTTTTTTTTGGGGGGAGTTTCCTTATCCGCTGCAAGGGTCCTAAGGACAGAGGGATGTCGTATGCTGTAAAGCCCTGTGAGGCAAATTGTGATTTGTGATATTGCGCTTCATAAATAAAATTAATTGATTGAAAATTGAAAGGAAAGATTAGATACTGGTCTATAGTTGGCTAACACCTCTGGATCCAAGATGGGCTCTTTTAGGAGAGGTTTAATTACAGCTACCTTAAAGTGATAGTTCAGGTTTTTGGACATGACATTGTGTTAAACGCTGACCATCTGTAGCTCTGATGTGACGGTGTCACTACTGTCAACGAGCCTCAGGCTCACAACACACCCTCGTCAGCTGCTGTAGGTAAACAGAGGAATACCAAAATGGTGCGAACTTGTCATTTCCCCAGCTATGGGAATAAAAACATCACCAGCTCCCAATTCCATCGGTTTCCTGTTACAGATGTAACCCGTAGGCAACTTTGGGTTACGATTTCTCAGAGCAGGAGGCTTGTTGACAGTAGTGACACCGTCACATCAGAGCTACAGATGGGCAGCGTTTCACACAACTTCATGTCCAAAAACCTGAACTATCACTTTAAAAGACTGTGGTACATAGCCTGTTAATAAAGATATATTGATCATG